ACTCTTCTATCCTAATCTCTTATGTATTAGATGACTGTCTTTGCCGGTTCTCATCTATCTCCTCGCTCATCTGTTTTGTTACCATGTATTTGCTTGCATACAATTTGAACTAACTGTAATTTATGATGTATTTTATTCTATTACAGTAGCAATAAAGAAGTGAAATTCCCCATCAATATTGGAATCACTGGCTATGTTGCTGCAACTGGAGAGGTGAATCCAATTTTTTTTCTTAAATTGAATTGATTTTGTAAAAATGACTTGAACCAAGAGTCTCATTTTGTTGTACTATTCTCCTTCTTCCAGACACTGAATATTCCAGATGCGCATGCAGATGACAGGTTTGAACCATCTGTAAGTCAATTCCTACAACAGTCTTAATCTATTCTGTTATTATTTGGTTCACACTTGTGAGATTGACAGCTCAACAAAAGCAAACTGAGGAACATGAGTGCGATTAGTGTCCTTGATTGTTGAGTGCTCTGCACCYCACTGGGCTTATGTTAGAAGACAGAAACACAAGTGCTGCTCTCTATCTCTATAGACATAGCTCATAGCTGTTTTGCATTTCTCATAGCTGTTTTGTATTTCTCTAATAAAATCTTTTTGCCTTTGAACTCTTATACAAACATGTTTTGTTTTGAACTGTTGAAGGTGGATGAAGCATCTGGGTTTAAAACTAAAACAATTCTTTGCATGCCAATCAAAAATGGCTCAGGGGAAATCATTGGTAAGCCTTTTTTTACTGGATTATTTCTAGCTTTATTTGAACCCTACTAGTGTGAAAACATCGCACAATCATGACACTACATGAATGAAATATTGCATAGTGACCAAATTTAAGTTTCCATCTATATTCTTGAGCATGCTTTTCTTCAGTTTAGTTATCCATATAATTTGTAGTCAAGCAGTTTAGATGTTAGGCAGACAGCAACATTACTTGGGTAGGTAGAATTGAACTTAAACCTTTAAGTTGTTTACTGAGCTCAGCTTTTCTTTGATTGAATGTACTAGGTGTTGTGCAGCTTCTCAACAAAGTTGATGGAACAGCATTCAACACDAATGACGAAAACCTATTTGAGGTTAGTRCTGCAACAATTGTGTTTCYCTTGTTGTCTCAGCTTCACATTTGTGAAATGTGTAGCAAATTTAGAATTTTAAGCCAAATAGATTATTATAATCGTTTTAAAAGCTGTTTTAATTAATAATGTTTTTAGAACACTGTAATGTTTTGATCATTGATTTATATTGAACYATCTTCTACAGGCATTTGCAATTTTTTGTGGAATGGCAATTCACAGCACAGTGATGTATGAGAATGTAAACAAAGCAATGGCAAAGAGAAAGGTTGCATTGGAAGTAAGTGTTTTTGTTCCTGCCATGCTTCTCTCCTGTGTCAGAAATCTGGTTACAGTCAACTCTCTCACAAACAATTACCTTGGGATCAGGAAAAAGTGGTCGCTTACAAGAGATGGTCGTTTATGAGAAAGTTTTTTTACAGAGTTTATATGGGAAACTGAACAAAACTGGAAATTTAAAAGGTGGTCGTTTACAGGAGATGGTCGCTTACTAGAGTGGTCGTTCAAAGAGAGTTAACTGTATGATCATTATGACATGAAAGATGTTTGAAATAATGTTTTCCATAACTGTAAATAGCAAGCAAGTCATTTTGCCTACTTGAATTTTCATATTAGATTTTCTCTGTTTTACTTAAACATAATTATGATTATATATGTACTGTCTCTGTGAAGGTTTTAGTCTTAAGTATAGCTGTATTGGATTTTGTTGATATGATATACAGCTGTTTCAAAAATGGTTGTCGGATAAAATATCGAATGTCGAATGTCGATTGCAGAACCAAAAGTAGTCATGGGTTTTGCTAGTTTAAAGGCAATAACAACTGATTTGTACTGTAAGATGGTCTGTGGTAAACATTGTCTCCATTTAATCTCCATTTCTATGTAAAGTGAAATTTTGTTTTTCAAAACGTGTAACCATAGTTCCTTTCGGTTGTGCAACCTCCCTTCGACAATTGCTGTTCGCCGTTCTCTCCGACAATGTTTTTTGAAATAGCTGTATACTGTTGGTGTGAGACTAACAAATAGTATTTTACAGGTTTTATCCTACCATGCGGCATCACCATTAGAAGATGCTCTAAAACTCAAGGTAACAACCAAATATTTTAGATTWTCTGAGCAATATTGTTATTTATTAAGATCCTGCAAGTTGATGATTTCATTACGCTCCAAGAACAAAAACACTATGAATAGAGAATTGAGCTAAGATCAAAYTCAGTAGTCTGATGATTGCAACATGCATGAAAGTGAAGTAACACAAAGTCCTTGTAATGTTTGAAGTGTTATTTATTATCATGATGATGGTGCAATTTTAAAAAATTATCRCAAAGTGTATAATTTTAATTTTTGATTTTAATTTTAAAAATATGATAAGTCCTGCTGCTGGTTGCAAGAAGGGTAGATGATGCTATCTACAGYCAACTCTCGCCATACGGACACCCCGCTACAACATCTCAATATTGCAGACAGTAAAAYACTAAATTCCCGGCGAAAAATACAAAGAAATGACTAAAAGTAACTGTCGTTGCTATGGACTCTCACTACTGCAGACATTAGATTGTGGTCCAGAGGGTGTCCGTAATAGCGAGAGTTGACTGTACTCCATAGCTTTGGTATGGATATTATCAACAGAATAAGGATTTATACAGTGTACATCGCTATCAACCCTTCATGCAACTGGCCCCCACATGTACAGATCTACTGGACAACAACATTGTTGCATTGTAGTTGACACTATATCACATAATTGTAACTATATTCTKTTGATTGTTTATCTGTAGGAACAAACCATTCCTTCTGTCAACACACTTCGTCTAAATGACTTCACCTTTGATGATAATACAATCAGTGATGAAGAGACACTGAAAGGTGTTTTAGCCATGTTTAATGACTTGCAGATAGTCAATGCATTTAATATCGACCACTTGGTATGTCATGATGCATTATTTTATTAGTATAGATTGGTTGATTGTAGGTATCTTCGGTTGTTGTTGTTTTTTTTTTTGATGATTCAGTTAGATTGATTTGTTGATTGTCTCCTTGATTTTTGGTTATTTACATATTTGGCTACCTGGTTGCATGATTGATTGATTGGATTGACCTGTTGATTCATTGATTTGTTTAATAATTGATATGTTGATTTATCTGTTGATTGGATGATACATTGATTGATTGATCCATTGAGTGATTGACATTTTGATTGATTGATCCATTGATTGACATGTTGATTAATTGAACCATTGAGTTCTTGATCTGATGATTGACATGTTGATTGATTGACATGTTGATTGATTGACATGTTGATTGATTGGTATTGGTAAATATCAGTAAATCTGTGTGTCATACAATCAATTTTCAAAAATATTATTACTGATTAATGCAATTTTGTTTGTCCGTTTAGACACTATGTCGGTTTGTTCTAACTGTGAAGAAAAACTACAGACCTGTCATGTACCACAACTGGAGACATGCATTTAATGTTGCTCAGACAATGTATGCCATTCTCAAGGTAATACATCATTTAATGATAATTATGCTCGTTTACAACTGTACAATAATGTGGTTATATTTTTTATTCCAGAGAGATTCAATAGGACCACATTTTTCAGTTATTGAGCAGTTTGCTCTGATTGTGGCCTGCTTATGTCATGATCTTGATCACAGAGGAACCAACAATTCATTCCAAATCAAGTATGTGTTGATCAAATAATTTTGTTTATTATATAGATGATTTCTAACGCACGCTCTGATTGGCCAAAAAAGTGTGGTTTATGAGAGTATAAACCACGATTGTGAGCGAGCGATTTTTGAAAACAGCAACAAAATGGATTTTTGCTTAAGTTTTGCTCAAAATCAGCTCATTTCAGCTCATGCTTCTTGACATTTTCTCATGTGTTTCAAATACCAAGCGTGCGTTTATCAGAGTATAAACCACGGCTGAGCCTTATTTATTTGTTAAATTTAACCTTACCTTTAATCTGGTGAGATACAGTGTAATTTTGAAATTTGTGTATTTAGGAGTGCAACGCCGCTAGCACAGCTATACACAACATCAACCATGGAACATCATCATTTTGATCAATGCATTATGATTCTTAGTGGTCAGGTAAGACTGATAAAATTATTGTTGAAAATGTCTTCATTTGGTGCATAAAAGAAACTT